TGTGCACACACGCACGTGTATTTTGGACCCCTTACTTACACACACGACAGTCACTATCCCCAAACTATCTTATGTCAAAGCATGTCAGTGTTAAAGACACTAACTTCAAGGTTTAAAGACCAAACCAGTATGCTGGAATTACTTTCCTGTGAAAAATAACACTAGCGACAACAAAACTTATGCATTTGTACATCAATAGGAATAACGTGACCTTTATCCCCAAAACTTTACAACATCACCCTGAGGGAGGCAGCATTTTTCATTCCAGTTCAGCTAACATTTGAGTGGGCACTCTATGCCACGTCTGCTGTGCCAGCCACTTTGAAGGCCATCTCTTTTGCCCCTTACGACATCCTGCAAAGCAGGGATTATTATGCTCATTACTGTGGAAAAAAAAAAAATCAATGGTCAAAGGGGGCAAGTGACAACCCTGAACACCCAGAGACAGAGTTAAAATTTAAACTAGAGCCTTTTGGCTTTCAAGTATTCTGTCTGATACAAAAAAAAAAAATTGGTTGCCAGAAGGGTTTTAAGGAATTTGACAAATGATGGGCTTCTGAGACTCACACAGTGAGTCACAACTAAAAACCAGGTTTTCCAATTTCCAGTCCAGGTTCTTTCGCCACATTACAGCACTGCCACCCAAAGCGCTGGGTTTTCCCAAGAGGTGTTTGGATGGGATTCCAAGCCAGCAAGATGCAAATAGGTCTGACCCACATTCCAGTTCTTGGATAAATAAAAACTCCTAAAGGGTAGAGCCCATTTTGTATGCTTAATCTGAGAGTCCCACTGTGGATAGTCAATTAATATTGAACAACTATAGGTACATTTGCCAAGGACTAACAGCGTGGGCTCAATTTTAGCAATTAGAATACTGTAAATATTATTGAGGAACCTCATAATGGTGCTGAAAGGCTGGATGGAGTAGTTATAAATTTTTAAGAGTTTTTAAAAAACTTTGAAGTCATTTAATCCAACTCTAAGTTTATAAATGAGATCCTGAGAAATTAAAATAATGTGTACAATGACGTGACACCTTCCGGCAACAGACCCTTTCCTGTTTCCCAGTTCTATTTAACTTCATGTCATATGGCATTCTGAGATAGTATTTTCAGGAATGTAACATGTTGAAGTTGGATTGGCTGGTCATAGAGTCATCACTGATTATGAAATGTCTCTCATTTTTAACTCTTCCTTATCTGACAAATTGACCTCTAAGAAATCTCCATTGCTGGCTTGAAAGTTTGACCAAGTTGGTATCATTTCTCAATAAGGGTCTTGTTAATTTTGGCCTCCTGAACTTTTCTCATGGCATTTTCCACTATCTGCTAGCTCTCCACGTTCTCTTCACTATTCTCTACAGTTCACCTCCTCCAACAAGGCTTCTCTGATTACTCTTCTTCTCACCAATGTTTATCTTGCTTTAATTTGCATAATACTTATGTTCAGTTTGTTTCTTCCTATCAGTAGAAAAGATCTGCTTATTGCCTGAATTTTTTTTTATGGTGCTTAAGACAATGCCATGCTCCAATGATCACCAAATTATGTTAAAAGAACAAGTCATGATAATTAACTTTATTACAAAAGAGAGACTTCATTCTTGGTAATAAAAAAAAAAAGAAGAAACAAACAAACAAACAAAAAATTTAAAATAACTTTTGTCTTGATGGGTCATTCTGATTTCTCAAAGACTAAGGAGTCACATGCACATGACTTTGGTAGTTTATCAAAAAATTAGTTCAGTGGTTAATATACTATCAAAATATTGGTCCAGTGGTTCTTAACCCTATTGTTCACTTAAACCCAGGTCTCACCACAGATCAAGTGAATCAGAATCTTTGCAGGTATGCCCAAGAAATAATTTGCATACATCGTATTCATATTTGATTTATACATATTGATTTGTACAACCTCACTCTTAATAAATTTTTCTAAAGAATGAGCATGTTCAAATATGATTTTGTTGTTCTTTGAATCATAAAATTTTAGAACAGAGAGAACTAAGATAATATCTAGCTCAATCTCTTTATTTTATAGCTGAGAACACTTAGCTTAAGAGAGATTGACAGAGTAGCCGCACACAGTGGCGTGGTGGTTTTTAAGTGACAGGTTGTATCTTGAATTAGTGGAATTTTCTGAACTCCAATTCTGAAGCTGTAGCAACTAAACCAAGCTGTTTAGTTTTTAAATTTCTGCTTTTTTTCTAAAGAAAATCTGTAAAAATATTGCACGTGAAAGATCTGTATTTAAAAGCTGTTGGCACCAGGTGCTTCATAAAGACCTTCGATTTGGCACATTCCAAATAACCCATTGTCATGGCAGAGGAAATGCCACAGCAGGATATATCAAAGTCCAAAATAAATGACTAGTATCTATTTGCAGGCTTTTTCATTGGCCCTGACCTCTAAGTCCATAACACTGTATGTTATCAGAGCCTAGAGCACTTCTAGCCCTTAACTATACCAGTCATTAGCTAACTTATTGCTTAGGAGCAAGCTAATCAGCACCCTGAACTTCCCTTTTCTCTATAAAAAGGTCCTACTGACCTTGCATTTTTCAGCTATTATAAAGATTAAATCAGATAATCTATGTGGAGATATTTTGAGAATAGTAAAGCACTATCCATATATATGCATAGAATTATTATATTACTATCTTTCAGAGCAATGAATTCTGAATAAGTATTTGTTGCTTCGATTACCCAGTCTCTAAATCCTAATTCTTTAGTATCATGCCACCCAAGAACCAACAGGAACTGGAGTTAGTGCTGGACTAGAGACTCTAGTCACTGAAAGTATCACATAACTAAATATTAAGGGATGTAAAGTGATGCAGTGACCCAGGATTTAGCTAGTCTAGGCTCTAGTCCCAGAGTCTGCTTTTAACTATTGATTTTGGACAAGTCACTTAATTTTTCTGGGACCAGAGTCTCGTCAGTGGTCAAAGGATGACTTGAATTAGAGTCAAAGATCCTTTTGATTTATAAAATCAGAATATTAGTGCTTAATTAAAATTACTAAAGTGCAATTTCCCAAGCCATTAATTCATGTGGTTTTGCATTTTTTTAAAAATCTTTTTAGAAGTATAGGGTTGGAGCCTAAAAACATAAGCCTATTTCTGTTAAACAGACCTTTCAAACACTGTGTAAGATCCTCTTTGAAAGAAACATCTCTACTCAGATACTTTATGCTTGTTAGTATCCTGTCAGGGAGTCCTTGCTCCAAAAATAAATATATGGTTACTCAAAAAGCACATAATATAGCGCTGGACACAGAGTAAGCACCCAAAAACTGTTATGTTACAGCTCTCAGTTTGAGTCCCAGTTTGTGTTGCTTAACCCAACTGAGCCTGTTTTCTTATATATAAGTGGGAACAATACCTTGCTCAAGGATCCATTGTGATAGCGTATATTAAAATGTTTTGTAAACTGTTAAAAACAATTGCAAGATATTACTATTACCTAAGGGATGTAGCTTACCATACCATGACCTTACTAAAAAATGTGCTTTTTCAAGTTATAGATTAAAATCTTTCTGACTTAGTTTAATTATGGACACAGCATCTACTCCAATCCCTGGCTCAACAAATATGCTCAAGAAATGTTTGCTGCATGAAAAATATAACCCACAGAAAGACCAAAAGCTCTGTGAGCTCGATTCCATATTTGTTTTTATCTCCAAATCCCCAGAGCCTAGCGCAGTATCTGACACATAAACTCAATAATTATTAGATGAACAAATTTTTGTCCCCTCTAATTCCTCTTCAACATAGCTCAACAGGCAGAGGCAGGCAGGGGAGGCATCAAAAATGATTTCTCGTAAAGGTTGCTTGGAATGAAAAACTGGGAATTAATACATCCACACTCTAACAAGTAGCTTGAGAGAGCAAAAAGAACAGAGATTGAGTTCAAATTCAGTTTCTAAATTCTGCAATTTTGGTAAATTAATCTCTCCAAAACTCAGTTTCCTCATCTGAAAGTGTGAATAGTATCTCACTCAGAGGATCAAGCACTGGTACGAAGGTCGATCAGAGCAGGGACTTCATTTTGGGCCCACTGTCTACATCGAACAAGGCGCAATGTCTCATATATGGTCTCACTTGATTCTCAGAGCACTTATAGGGTAGATGGTATCATCCTTCCCATTTTATAGATGAGAAAACCGAGGTTATCAAATGTTTGTTGACTAAATTTGTGAGAAATTGACAGAAGTAATACAGCTAAAGTAACAGAATGCCTGCACATAGTAAACTCAGGAAATGTGAGCGTCTCATCATCATCATCATCATCATCATCATCATCATCGCCACTACTATTAGCAGCGTATCAGTATTATTACATTTCTGGTGGTTGAAGAACAGCCGCCTTTGGGGAAAGACTAGGATTCAAATCTCAAGTTCTCCATTTACTGGCTATATGACTTAGAACAAATTCCTTAACCTATTCGAGTTCCTTTGGTTCTACAAAAATCTCGGTGTCGTGAGAATTAGAGGCTATACGGAAACCACGGAACAGTCTGGAGCTCAGGCAGCGCGCGATATACGACAGCGATTGTTATTAAGGAAGAAAATCGCCGAGTCCTCTTTCATCTAGTTAACATGCCTGTAATACATAACTCAATACATAACATGACCGCAAACAAGGAAGGAAAGAATTTCGGAGATCGAAACCGCTAAACGAGAAAAGAAGGCATTAAACTAGTGCTTGACAGTTCCCACCAAAGTGTGCCAGTTTCCGCGACTATCAACCAGTATAACCAGCCAAGGCTCCAACAGGACAGTCAGCTCCGTAAGGAACAAAAAGGAGGCAGGGCCGTCGCTTTAACCCTCCCCCTAACGGTCTCCTGGCCGCTGGCCTCAGGGGCGGCCCGACTCCCGTTTCCGGCCCTCGCAGGACCACAGCTCCCAGCATGCCTTTGAAGGGAAGTCTTTCCCGCTGGATGACTACGAATCCCGGCATGCCATTCGGCACTCCAGCAAATTAGATGGAATAATGGGGTGACTCCATTGCACGCGGGGAACTGTAGTCCATTTAGCGAACTGTCTCTTAGAGGGGCGGGGCAGAAGCGGGTCGTTTTCGTCAGCTGAGAAGAATGATTCACAGAGGAGAGTCAGGAGAGAACAGTTCTGTCTGTGAAAGCCCACTTAAAAGGCTGGACTCTAATCCGAGGGAAGGAGAGGCAGGAGAGCAAGCAGGACCTTGGGTCTGACCCCGCCTCAGGCCGCTCGGCAAGCCTCTATCAAGTCCTGGGCCTTGCCGGGGGCGGCCGCGAGGCACCGGTTGCTGGGGGACCGGTGACGTCGCGGGGTGAAAGTTGAGGGGCGGTGACGTCGGGCCTGCCCGGGCGGAGGCTGGCGGGTTAGAGGCAGGAGGGAGGGAGGGAAGGAGGGAAGGAAGGAAGCTGAGAAGGAGCGAGCGAGCGGGGGCGCGAGGCGTTTACCTGGAGGCAGCGGCTTGGGCGCGCAGAGCGGCCGCGGCTCCCCCGCACCTGCGGCCATGGATGAGGAGCGCGCCCTCTACATCGTCCGGGCCGGCGAGGCGGGGGCTATCGAACGGGTCCTGAGGGATTACAGCGATAAGGTAAAGAGCCCTGGCCCCGGGCTAGGGGTATAGCACCCCCGGGCCGCCCTCCGGACTTGCACAGCGCATCTCTCCCCACCCCCGTCATTCCGGGGATGCGCACTGCTCTCCCCCGAAAACGTTTCCGGCTTGGGCATGCGTGTTTGTGCCCCCAGCCTTTCCGATCCATGCATCCTGCATCCCCCTGCCCCCACTTTGGCGCCCACTCCTCTGATTCCGGCCCAGCAGCTTGTCCTACGGTCCTCCTCCCAAACGCGCAAGTCACACCCCCGGAATCCGTAGGTGTTCGTGTGTGCTCTGTGCCCCAGTCTTGGATGCATAAATGCACTCGAGGCTTCCTCACCTGTATGGCATAAAAATACTTGCTTCTGTACACAAACACGGCCTGTGACATGCGTAAAATATATCAGCCACGGTGGCAATTCTTTATATACCTATAGCACTGTACAGTTTTCAAGGCGCTATGTCTCATATATGGTGTCACTTGATTCTCAGAGCACTTATAGGGTAGATGGTGTCATCCTCCCCATTTTATAGGTGAGAAAACGGAGGCACTAAGAACTGAAATCATGCCAAGGTCATGGAATTACTATGTTATAAGTGGGGGGAGAATCTAAGTCCTAAAAATACCTATTATTTGTATCGCATTAACAGCTTTCCCATCCGTTATCTCATTTAATCTTGACAACAGTCTTATGAGGTTTTATCTGTGTTTTGCAATTGAGAGTCTCAATTGGTTAAGTAACTTGCCCAAGGTCATACTTGTGAGCTGGGATTCCAGCCTAGCTTTTCAAATCATTTATTGTTTTTTCCAATGTACGATTCTGCATTAAAAAGGTATCTTGTTATAAATCCCAGCCACTTTTCTGAATCTCTCTTCTAGGACCGTTAGCTCTCCACTACTTTTTCTTCCAGGAATTTTACATGCTCACTTCAAAAGGCAGCACACCACACCTTTATTCTTCCATTTAGAAGACTGCTTTATAGAAATGACTGACTACTCCCTCTGTGAAAACACACCCAGCACCAAGTCTCACCCTAGATATAACATCTTTCTTTCATTTGCTTCCATTCACAATTTTCCCTTCTGCGTTTGCTATGTGCCTACCCCTGCACATTCTACACTTTGTATTATTGAACTGCTAGTATGCCATTTTTGCTCTGGGTGGATGGAGAAGATCCAAAAATAAGACACTTTCATTTCCATTTAATCTTCCCAACAACTCCATGAGGAAAGCGGTGGTATTCTCTATTTTACAAATGATAAAATTTAGGATAATGTTGCCCAAGTCTATACAGCCATTCAGCAATGTGGCTGAGATTTGAATCTAGGCTGACTGCTGTTTCTACAAGACTACACTGCTTTCTTTGGGAAAATGCATGGATTCGATTCTATTCATATATTAGCCTCTTCTCTTTCTGATGTGCTTTACTCTTGCTTATCTGCCTAATTTAGGAGTTCATTTGATGCATAGGTCTACATATTGTGGAGATTATATTCATTTTACTTGATTTGTAACTGTTTTCCAAAAAAGATTTGAGGCACCTGCAAACTGATTTTCAAAAGAAAGAAATACAACAGAAACCTTGGCATTATGTTGAATCAAGTAGTATTTATTTAGCACTTGCTATATGCCAGATATCCAGCAATAAAGAGGAATTGAAGGGAGGAGGAAAAACCTCCAACTGACCCTTATTACCTTCACTATTTCTCCTTCCCTTCATGGCTAAACTAATTAGAACTCCAGATTTGCTTCCTCCAATTTATCTCTTCCTTTCCTTGATTTCCCTCTAGGTTGGTTTCCACTTTCCACTGCTGGCCAACTGCTGTCAGCTTGAGTTCTAGATATCTCCAGCTCCGCTTTCACAACGGGAATGTTTTTAAAGTTGTAATACCCAGTGTGCATTGTTTAAGGTAGTATTCCTGAAGTGTTTGGGAATCTTCCCTAACACTTGGATGTTTTGGGCCAAACCTGAGAATGCTCTGACTTGATCCAAACCAAGTCAGTCGTCTCTATCAGAAAAGAGCTCTCATGTTTAATGCTGATTATAGTAAGGCCAGAGTACAGAGAAAATAGCTTAGTTTCTTGTTGGCTTTGGGGCTTTGCCCCTCAAAGCGAGAGAAACAGATGAATAGGAACGGAAAGTATGATCGCAATTGTCTGGCAATAAGAATGAGAAGGTGGAATTAAATCAGAGTCTGAAACCCTGAAAAAGTAACTGGATACGGTGTGCTTCATTTTTCTTATCTGGAAAAATTGATTTCAGAAATGTTCAGAGTAAGAGGTGATTATGGGGCACTGAGGAATCTAACCAAGAAGAGAAATGAATGATGTAGAGAGAGAACGATTGGTTCATTGTTTGGGAGAGGAATTTCTTTGTGCTACCTTATTTCTCTAATGACGCCAGTCGTCGAAAGGAATAGTGGAAAGAAGGTAGAATTTGAAGTCAGATAAACATTGGTTCACATCTGTCATTTATTATTAGCTTCATGACTATCGTAAGTTATTTGAAGCTTGAGTCTCAGTTTCCTTATCTGTAAAATAGGACTAATATCACCTAAGTTATTCCGAGGCTTAAATTAACTGAAATATAATGCCAAACACTGAGCACAATACACCTGGAGGCATTGACTCAGTGAGTTATATTCTAATGATCAAAGTACTCAAGAGGTCCCGTGACCAGAGCACGGGTGCTGGAGTCCGACTGCCTGGACTGCCTCAGTTTGCCCTCCGTGTGTCCTAGTATGAGTCACTTGACTTTGCTGTGTCTCAGTTTCCTCATCTGTGAAACGGGCAATAATAGTACCTACATCGTAGGTTTGTTGTCAGGATCAAAGGAGTTGTATGTGTAAAACACTTAGAATAGTGCCTAGCACTGAGGAAGAACCCATCTGTTTTTGAACAAAAAAAGTGGGAATTAAACATGTACCACTGAATTGACATAGCCTGATTTAAAAAAAAAAAAGGATTATACTCCATTCTTTCTCTTTTTCCTTGACGTCTGCACTTTCTGATGGGTAGCAAAATACCTCGTACCACATTTAGAGCAACAGTTACCTGTCTGGCTCCAGGTAACAACATTTAATTTCTGCTGAATGTTTCGGAGACTAATTTCCCAGCTTTCTTGCTTTATTCACTGATCCTTGTTATCTTGGGGAGAAGGAAGAACTATTTATCCCAGAAAAAAACAAAACTTGTCTGTTTCTCAAGGACATAATACAGGTTGACTCAGCATAGGAAAATATTAAAAAGGAGAGGAAGAGTGGTTCTTTTTCACTCTTCCCAGTTCACCCGTTAACATAGATCGAGTGCCTGCTATGTACTCTGTATTATCCTAACGGCTTTCACATGTCATCACATATAATTCTCTTATATTAAAACTTATGAGGGAGATGGAAGTATTCTCCTTTTGGGGGATTAGGAAATTGAGATTCAGAAAGACAAATGACTATCTACGGGCTCAAGAGCACATAGCTAGAAGTGGCAGACCTAGTCTTCAGATTCCATATCCAGGGCTCTTTGCAAGGCCACGTTGCCTTCACCCCATCACTTCTGCGTTTCTGAGCACAGAAGAGAAAGGTGTTTCAGCACCAATACACTACTTCCTTTGACTCCTGTTGGACCCTAATCACCTCCACTCTGGTTATAGAATGAGCTATTGATTATGGGAAGTATCATTCTAGTCTAGGCTGTCCAAGCTCCTTCTCCTTTAGGGCCTGTTCTGATAACAGATTTAGTAGAGAGTTTGGTTGCCATCATTATGATTATCAACGACAAACTGATCAAGGGCCCCATGGTGCACAGTAGTATCACAGTTACCTGAATCGTGGATATTTAGACTAGAAAGAACCTCAGAGATAATTGGGTCCAACCCCCTCAGTTAATAGGTGAAGAAACTGAGGCCTAGAGTCATCAACTATGATGATAACCAGAGAGATGGCCACCTAAGCATATGCTACCCATAGCAAGCTCCAGCAGGATTCCATGTTGGAAGGATGGCAAGTTTATGGCCAAATGAAAGGTAAACGTTATTTAAGATACAAGTAGGTAGGTCTCCAAGAATAGTCCTCATGAGAGAGGAAAACCACACTGATAGCACTGAGGTCTTCATTTATGTGCTAGAAGAACCTGATTGATAGGAACCTGATATTGAGATGATTCTGTAAATATAGCCTCCACATTTGAGTAGGATATATAAATACCCCATGCCATGTAAGAGGACTTTTTGCTTTCCACATTGAGTTCTGACTCTGAGGTTATTTCACAGATTTTTGCAGTGGAGCATTTTTAATGATCTGTTCCTTTGTTATACCTTGTTCTTATTTCCAAATTAGGTTATATAATTTCAGTTCCTGGCGTTTAGTTCTAGAAGTAATCTATTCGTGAAACATAGCCCAACACACACACACACACAGGTAATTACTTGGTATTAGTACCATTTGATTATCTTTGGAAATCTATGAAATAACTCCTAGTTCTCTAATAGTTCAGTATTTGGCCACATCATAGGCCATGTAATAATAATAATAGTGACCACTTATTGAACACCTGCTGTGCGCAAAGGTGCTGTACATAAAGATAAGGAAACACTGACAGGTAGTAAAGTTGAGTAACTTGACCAAGGTCACGCTTTTGTTAAGTAGCAGGACTGGACTCAAACCCAGTGATGTCTGAATCCTGACCCTGATCTATTTAGAGCCTATTCATAGGATATAAAACCTACAGAGGGGAGTCCTAATGAGTTATATGTCACTGAGCTGTTCCTACCTTACTTGGTCTCTAAATTTAATAGTGGTTTTACTCTTTAGTTTATATTTGACTTGTTGCTCCTGTTTGTCTGTGAATTAAGCATATGAAGAAGGTGAGGTAGTTGACTCTTGGTTAATAGTTCTAGAAAGGCATTTATAGCCAGAAATGCTAGTTCTCCTTCCCCTTTCAACCTTAGAAAGGGGGATGAATAAGAGTTAAAGGTTAAAGGGTGAAAGAAGTTAGCCATGGAGAAGCTAAGATCCTTGGAGCTAAGCAGTCTTAGCGGTCTGAGCTGGCTAGATTGACACATTCGAAATTCAACTTGTATTGCCTCACATACTGGTATATTTTCTAATTAATCCCTCATGCTAGTTAGACAAGGCTTCCGAAAGCTTTTCTTCCTTTCTTCTCTCTCTCTCTCTGTCTCTCTCTCTTTCTTCCATGTTTTAGTTTTATGGCAGGATCAGCCTTGCATTTAAAAAACAACAGAAAACTGGAAACTAATAATAAAATAAAATAAAATGCAAAAAAGAAAACCCAGAAAATAAATGTTGGTGAGGATGTGAAAAGGAAAAGTAACAGAAAAATTAGTCCTTGGTGCTAGTCTAAATTATCACCTTAAAAGATTAATTTTAAGCAGAAACGGTTTAAAAGATATTTTTATAACTTAATGAGAGTCTTTCCAAGATTTCTGTTGCCTTACCATAAATGCCAAAAAATTTAGAAGAACCATTATATTGGCAACTAGGTACATTTATTCCAGATAATTTATGGAATTCACATAAAATGGTAAAAAATAAGCTTTGTTGGTTTCTAAGTGCAATTATTTATTCTCGTTTGCATTAGACTTTTACTAAGCTTCAGTTTACAAGGTTAGCCTGATGTCTGATGCTTCTTCATCTTTTATCTAATACTGTTTTTACTAAACCTCAGATCTATAAATTCTCAAGTTATAGCCTTCAGATTTACAACTTGTTCTTTCTTTTCTTGTTCATTCATTCATTCACTTATTTTTTATTTTTTTAATTTCCCTTTTAATTATAAAAATAATTTTCCAGCAATGAGTTTTGTCAGAGAAATCACCAGAATTTCTACCTCCCCCATATAGTTGCTTTTTATTTGCATTTTAATGCTCAAGACTTTGAATGCATCCATATATTTAGGTAGGTACTTTGATCATAGACATGGACATATAATTTGATGTTTTACTCTTTCCATTTGATGCCATCGTAATTTTCCATGTAAAGAGCTTTTTAACCATTTTTTATTTTTCATTGTAATGTAATATTCTGTCAGGTGGATGCCCAGCAATTTATTTCATCAGTCTCCTGTTGTTGGATATTCAGATGTCTCTTTTCTTCTTCTATATTAGAGAACAGTGCAGCAAATATGCTTACATATATAATTTGTCTCTCCTCTGGATGATTTCATTAGGATAAATTACTAGAAATAGAAGTTCTGGGTCAAAGCATGTGAATATTTTTATGGTTTCCAATATGTGTTGCCAAATTACTTTCCCTTTTAAAGTTTGTCTCAGTTTATACTGCTGCCAGCAATATCATCCTTGGATTATTGATGCTCATATCTCAGAGAGCTTTATGTCCTCAGCCTTACTCTCCATTAATCTAGTCTATAAGCTACTGCCCAAAATATTCTTCCAGAATGCTCTACTTAGTCACATTCCCCTCAGAGTCTTCCCCTGGTTTCCTGTCACCCATCTGCCAGCTCAGGTATAAATTTTAAAATCCAAGCCCTTATCACCTGACATCATCCATTTTCATTGTTGTCCAAGCCATATGTGAAGCCGTCTCTCTTAGGCTTCCTCAAACGGCCCTTCTCTTATACCTCTAAGTCTTCCTTCTGACCATTTCTTAGATTCAGAACTACTGCTTGGTCAATGTTTCTTCATCTCATTTAATTTCAAAAATTGCTTCTTTTACAAAGCCTTCAATGCAGAACTACCTGTAATGATGATATCTTTAGTACTTCATGTGCTCAACTCCTGGTGGGTTGCCAATAAATGTTTGTTAGTGTGGCCAGTGAGAGAAATACAAAGGAAAGGTGGAGATTTTTTTTTTTAAAGAAAGCTTAGGATTCATAAGAGCACTTGGTTCTCCTGAATAAAACTTGAGAGGAGAATGTTGTGCTTTATTTTTTGTGTACCATCACTCTTTCTCTGACAGTGGACAAGTCAACTTACTCCATCACCTGTTACAGCTACAGAGTGGAAAATATAGTGTTGCCAGTCATTTTAGGAGGGTCATGATAGTCTCTTCTCTTCCAATTATTTTTTCTTCAATATCATTGGCACCACCATCATTATAACCCTAATATTTACTGATTGTTTATTATATTCCGGGCACTGAGATGGTACATTATATATCTTAGTTGTTTTAACCCTAACAGTAGTTCTGTGAACTAGGTACTCCCTCTCTTCACATAAGAAATCCAGTTATGGAGAATTTGTTACTTGTTCAACTGACTAGTAAGTGATGGATCCATGATTTAAACCCTCGTTCTTACAGAATATTTTCCTGAAATACTAGTCTATCAAATCACTTCCCTATCTACAATTCTCTGATGATTTCTTATTGAATATATAAAACAGAAAGTACAAATGCCTCAGCAGCATTGGAAGGCCCTTCCAAATCTCTTTCCAATCTACTTTTCCATCATCTTTTTTCACTCTTCTCCCATCCCCTAACATCCCCTAAGATAGAGCTGCTTATTTCATAAATACATCATACTGTTTCACACATCTGAGCCTTTCTGTTTCTATATTGCTTTCATTTGCCTCTTGGAAAACTATTCCTCTCACAAAGTCCAGTTCAAATTCTCTGTACTGCATGCAAAGCATTCCAGATTTCTCTGGGCAGAGTTAGTGACTTGGTACTCTGTGCTCCTTGGTATGTATTTCTGCTATAGACGTTTCATACTAAAAATTATTTGTTCATATGCCTATCTCTTTAATAGTAATAGTGAGATATGCTATGAGAAGGCAACATTTTTTATGGAGACATTATATAGTTTTAAACATAGCCAAAATTAAAAATCTGTGTATTTAAAATGACATTGTTTCCCTTTTTTCCCCCCTCAGCATAGGGCTACTTTCAAATTTGAACCAACAGATGAAGATAAAAGAAAGGTAAGACTTGGTGTTACTGTGTACGTGTGTGTGTATATGTGTTTCATTCATGGACTTTCTAAACAGTGGAGTTGTTTTTATGTGATGGTTATTTAGTTTTCGGTTTTCCTTCAGCTTGTTTTTTAGGAACTCTAAAGAATAAAGACATGTGCCAGGTTTAGTATGAATTACACACAACACCCTTCTGCTTCATCTCCACTGGACCATTACACTTGGATAAATCAAGGCAATGAGAACGGTTCAGAGGGGACTCTCTCCCTATATCTTCTCACTGTCAGAGATCGACTTCATTTGAAAGCAGGACTGCAGGCTGCCCACAGTGCTTTGCTAATATTGTGAAACTTGGCTTTGGAATAAGTTTTGGGAAAGCAGCTGTTAATGCTGCTGCCCCTTAGCCACATGTCCTTCCCTATGCTGACAGTTTTGTTGTCAACAATAGTCTAGGTCACTGACTTCATGGGCATAGAGGAAAACGGAGTCAAGAGACTCACCAATAGAGGAGTTTTAAAGAGGGTGCATCAGAGATATGATCATTCAATGTTGTGTTTGCCTCTTGGGTTGCCTATGGTTGCTTTACTTAGTTGATTAGAGCATGCTGCTAACGGAGAAGCTCACCAGTTTTGTCTGTGTGTTGAGCCCCATTTATCTATCCCTGGCCTCAAATGCCAAGACCAGGTAAGAAAGCATGACTGAATTAGTGTAAACCTATCACTGCTGCTGGAAAAATAGCTTTAAAAACATCTAGTGCTCTCCTAGTAGTGGTTTGATAATACCTTGAAATCATCCTTCTGTTCACGTCCATACCAACATCTAATGTCTGCATTCCGCTTACTTTACCTTGTGATTTTTTTTCATTCCACTCTCTTCTTAACCCCTGCCCTAATTCAGGCCTCCATCTGGATTACTTCACCAGTTTCCTAACTGTTCTTTCTTTTTCCAGTTATATGCCCTTCCAGTCCCTTGTCCATGAATCTAGAACAACAATCTAACCACGTCGCTCCCAGCCTTTAAAACCCTTGGGTGACTTTTTTTGGCCTGTAAGATTCAAACTTCTTAACATGACATCCTAGATGCTTAGTGACCTGATCTCTGCTTATTTATGCAGCTCTTCTCTCCCTTATATTTTATCCTCTAGCGATATGAAATGTTTCCGGTTACATACACATATACATCTCTTCTGTTTCTTATTTTCTACCTTTGCTTATATTGTTTTCTATTTAGAATGCCTTTTTCTTCTTGTATACATCTTCCTCTTTTCACCGGGTTAATCCTACTCAGCTCCAGGATTATCTCCTTCAAGAAGCTTCCTTTAGTATGCCTGTTAGAGTAAAGTAGCCCTTTTCAATATTCCCATAAAATTCTATGTAAATCTCTAACTCTATGCTTATACATTGTCTCTTAATTATATATCTGTGGCTCTCATCGTGAGACCCTGCAAACTCCCTAATGACAGATAATGTTATTGATGTCCTCCACATCTAGAGTGCCCAGCACATAAAGAACACTGAAAAAGTATCTATTGAATGAGTGACATAGAGTATAAACTCTGGAGGTTAAAGATTTAACTCTGATTTTCTTTTGGATTTTAGCAGTGTAAACAAGACTAGACTACTTTTTAGAGCAGGGGTTCCAACCAGAAATGTGCATTTGAGGGAGCTTTTTTAAGATAGGCCTGCTCAGGCCTAACCTCTAGTCTACTGAGTCAGAATTTAGGGGGTGGGATCCAAGAATGTGTATTTTTATAAATAGCCTTCAGGAAACAAGCACACATTTGGTGGGAGTGCAAAATAGCACAATTCCTGTGGAACAGAAACTGGCAGTATCTACCAAAATTATAGATGCATTTTGTCCTTTGACCAAGCATTGTCACTTTTAGAAATCTTTTGTGGATAGATTGAACCCAAGTAAAGAAAGTTATTTGCTGAAGCGTTGTACTTGATAGCAAAGATTGGAAACAACCAAGTGTCCAGCAAGTAGGGGGTATTTGAAGAAACTAGGGGACATCTGCATAATAGAATACTATGATGTGGTGAAGGGAGAGGGACAGACCATTATGTGCTAATGAGAGAGAGAAAAAAAAGCATGGAGTTAACAAGAGCATATTTTTGACATACCCTTGCTAGGTATTCAGGCTAGGAAGGCAGCTGCTGTTTCTTTAGTTGGGAGAATCCATGGTACCTCTGTAGATTCATGGTGCCTTGAGAATCTGACACTAGAATTTTAGTAGTACTTTTACTGGTCAAATTAAATACATGAAGACAGATTCCCTCACTCCATATAAGTTTCAGTTGAGGGAGAAGATTTTCCCATACAGTTATTAATAAAGCATGTGTATTTCCTATATGTTAGTTGCAAAACCTAACGTTTTTAAAGTATTGTCTTTGCCTTTTAGATCGTCAGAGACAGTAACTACTGTACTGGTGTTATTTTCGGTTATAATGTGCAGATTTCTGTTTCCTGAGGGTTCTGCTACAAACAAATGTCATTAGGGACCTAGCTAGGTAATCTTCATTAATGGAAAAACAATGGCAAACAAAACCATTTCAGTCTCCAGGGGTTAAAACCATTAGTGACTCTTTCATGCCTAAGGCTTTAAAAAGGCTTTGAAATCAAAACTATTGGACTACTCTAAAGGATCTACATCCTGACAGTTTCTTTAAGTTCTCGATGTAGAGAAACATGGAATAGTAGACATATCTCTGCATTAAACCTAGTTTGAAAACAAGAGGAACTCAAATTACTGTCTAATTTGTTCTGCTACCCTAGTTCTCTTTTTCTCTTTCCTAAACATGTCTCTGGAGCCTTCTTTCAGTAGCTCCTTAGTAACTACAGCACCCCTTTCTATAAACTAAAGGTAAAAACACACCTTTCTTATGTAAAATCTTTGTGACAACTTAGAAATAAATGTAAGGAAACAAAGCCTTTCAAAAAATAAAAATTATACTGAGCTTTTTAGGAAATGGTTATAAATTAATGATCCTTAGACCTAATTCCTAATACTTATGTAGTGTTTTGCATTTTTTCAAAGATTTGCTTTGCAACAGTAATAACTAATACTGTAAGTATGGCAAGAATGCCACTATCCCTATTTTATTGATAAGAAAACTGAGGATCACATTAATGACAACTTGCTAATACTCATATAACTAGTAAGTGCTGGAGCCTCAGGGAACATTTTCAGACTATTATGTGCAGCTCCTTCACTGCTCCCACTCATTACCACTTGAGGTATATTTCAGAAGGTTTGAAATTATGACTCAGTACCTTGTTTTATCTCGTTTCATACCTCGAGACACCATTTAGGCAACTAGTCTTAAAATGGAAGATAGCGAAGGGAAGTACCAACAAGGAGTGCTTAAATCTTTCCAGATAAAGTCATGTCAGATACAACTGCTAATGTTTGTACATATATGCAAATAGTTTTAGGTACATGTGGATCATTGTAGATTTGGATTTAGGCACCTGTGCTTATTGAAGCATTCGATTTACATCCTCTATCTAAATTGGTAGGCTATGATTATCTACCAGCACATAAACAAATATATCATGCAAATATATAGGGTGGGAGGAGGTATGATGAATAATCTGAAAATTTACATCTTGAAATGAAAGCTCTTATATTGGTTTCTAAAACACAACTGATCTGAAGACCAAGTACTTCATAACTGCAATTAATTTTGAAAAATAAATGTCATAAAATGAGCAAAGGAATTGTAGCTCTTTCACCTGTAAGATAAGAATACAATTACATCAAATGTGGAGGACTTCAGTTACTGTCTGAGATAAATCTTTATGTATGGCCATTTTTCTCAAAAGAATGAAGTTAAAAATAGCCCAATTTCAAGCATGTATTTTATTACCTTCAAATTCACATAGATAATCCCATATTTCTATGAAGGCAGAGGATAATTGCTAAGTCGAGAATTCTTTGAGGATAACAACTCTCACTTCTCTTTGTATTTTCATCTCCCAGCACTGCATGTGGCACAAAATAGGCAACTACAATAAACACCTGTTGAATGAAGGTAACTTAGTGAGTGGAGGCTAGAATTCCTGTGACTTGAACATATCGTTTGGTGTTGACTTTAAAATTCTCTTAACTATATAGCAGAATCAAGCACATCTCATGTTTACTGAAAAAGCAGGACACAGAAGTATTCATACAGTATGATCACAATCATGTAAAGCTAATAAAAACTGTACTAAGACAAATAACTACAAAGAAATTCACTAAATGGTGAAATTCAGATTCAATAAATCTGAATTTATTGCTGTGAGTGGTATTTTTCTTTCTGTATTTTAAACTTTTATAGTAGACGATAATGATAAAGGATATAATAATTATATAATATATAACATACATGTTACATATTCTTATAATAGTGTGATTGGAGGTATTATAAGCAAAGACCAATACTTTTTTTAAAATTATTTTCTCTAAAATCGAAACTTCTCGATTATCTTACATATTCCTTTTGGAGGAACATAAAAGGATATTTTTAGATTTAGAAATAGTATTACCTGTGGAGCCAGTTTATGGAGTGAAATTATATGAACACAAAGTTCCATTCAACCATTTGAAATATTTCTTTTTTTAAACTTTTTCCCCAGACTTGGCATTTTAGTAGATCTCTATAGTCCACAAATGTTTTTCAGTAATTGCTGTATGCCAGGTCCTGTGTTAGGTTTTATTTCCTAATTGGCTATTTGCCTATGGTGTTTGGTTTGGCACTTTCTCAGCTACAGGTGCATATGGAGGATTGCCATCGTGGACTGTAGAAAATGAATGGGTAAATTTTCATATTAAATTTCCCCAAGGAAAATGTGACAGCATAGAAATGTCAATCTTACACTGTGGAGCCATGCTTAGGAATAACTTGAGGCATGGATGTTTGTTCTAAAGGCCCTTTCACTTATTTTAGTAATTTGAAAAATTGTTAAATGCCAATTTTCAATAAAACAAATGAGCTTCGTATGCCTTGCAAATTTGATTCAAATTT